GCGCGGGGGAGCTCCTTGACCTCCCGCTGCCGGCTCTCTCGGCAGAGGCTCCCTCGGCCCACCCCGAGAGGCCAGGCTCCCCATCCGGGTCCTCTGGGGGCTGCAGCGGGCGTGGGACGGGCTCCGGGGCCTCCCCGGGGCAAGGCCGGGCAGCCGCGCACTCCTGGCAGCGAAGAAGGCTCAGCAGGTCGTCCCGGCCAGCCTCGGCGGACAGGAGCCCGTGGGCATCGGTGACGTCCTGTGGGGCCAGGCCCTGGCCGGTGGCGATGTGCAGGGGGCAGGGGGGGCCTTCTGGGGCCAGGCCCACCAGGTCGCCCGGCAGGGCCTCGAGCTGCCGCACCAGGTCCTGGACGCAAGCCCCATCCAGCTCCATCCCAGCCAGGCTGCCGGGCCCTCCCGGCTCGGGGGCCCACTGGCCATCAGGGGTCAGGTCCTCAGAGGGCGCAAGGGTGTCCCTGGGCTCTTCTAAGTCCATGGTTGGAGGTCCCGAAGAGGACTGGGGCGCGGTCAGGAAGTCCATGCCTGCACCCGGGCTCAGGCCGGCACCTCCACGTGGCTGAAAGGGAGAAGTTCAAAGGTGAGGTTCCTGGGTGCCACCTGGAGCCAGACTTCAGCGGAGTGCTGTCCATACGGGGCATGTCACATATACTCACACACAAGTACATGCACGCATGTACGCACACATGCAGCACACGTGTGTGTGCGCAGACACATGCATAAGCACATGGAGTTAGGACAAGTTCTCCCAGCTGGGACCACGGGCACACACCACCACACCCGCCTCTTGTTTTTCTAGTTTTTTGCTATAGGACATGTGCGCTCACTAGAGAAAGAGAGAGAAAGAGAGAAATGGGGACCAGCAGGTGGCATGGTGGTTAAGGCGCTGGACACTCCCACACGGCCGACCAGGGTTCGAGTCCTGAATCTGGTGGCTTTCTTTCTCACTTCCTCTCTCTCACTCTCACCCTCTGTCTCTCTCTGGGCAAATTAAAATATAAAATGGATGAATAAATAAAGTAAAATAAATGACTATTAAAAAAAAAAAAGACAGAGAGACAGAAAGCGAGAAATCACCCCCCAGAGGTGATTTCAATCCCTTCTCCTCCATTCTCCTCTCGGGATCTTGGGCATGCACACACATGTGCCCGGCGTGAGTTTAAGCCACCGGGTCCGGGACTCGAACCACAATCGGTCACGTGGGAGTCCAGTGACATAGCCATTACATCAACTGCCGATCCCGCCTGGTGTGATTTTCAAGCCACCAGGTCCTGGACTCAAACCACGGCCCGCCACGTGGGAGTCCAGTGCGTTAATCACTATGCCACCTGCCGGCCCCACACCCAACTCTTTTTCAGACAGGGTTTCTCTGTGTTGTCCAGGCCAGCCTCGAGCTCCCCACCTCTAGGACTGCACGGGCCGTCACCCTGTGTGGCCTCTAGGGTGGACCAGGAATCCAGCCTGAGCCCCGAGTGGTCGCAGCCTGTGGGACACAGAGCCTGAGCAGCACCCCCCGCCCCCACTGGGCCCAGGTGCAGGCCTCACCCTCGCCTGGCCGCAAGGACGCTCAGACCTCCCTTTCGAAAAACGCCTTTGGGACCAGCAGATGGCGTTTGGCCACCTCACTGGACTCCCATATAGTAGACCAAGGTTTGAGCTCCAGCCTGGGGACTGAAAACATGCCAGCTGCGTGTGCGTGCGTGTCCAAGATCCCAAGAGGAGGACGGAGGAGACGGGATTGTGGCGTGGCCATCCCCTGGGGGTGATTTCTCACTTTCTCTCTCTCTCTCTGGTGAGCACATGCACCCTATAGCAAAAACTTCTCCAAACACACAGGAACTGCGTGCGTGTGCGTGTGCGAGTGCGTGTGCGTGTGCGCCCAGAATCTTGAGGGAAATGAATGGGGAAGGGCTGGGGCGTGGCCATCCCTTCCGACCGATTTCCCACTTTCGCTCTCTCTAGCTCTCCTCTCTCTGGAGAGCACAAATGCCCAATTGCAAAAATGTTAAAAAGTCTGTCTTTTTCTTCCACGAGAGAGTGAGGGAGCACACACCGGGAGAATCCCCACACGGCAGCCACCCCTAGCCCGGGCCCGTCGGTCCGGGTCCTGCGCGTGCCAGGCGTGTACAGGGAGACCTGGGACGCGAACGCGTCGTCCCTGTGTGCACCGCAGGGCCGCGCGTTACTGCGGCGCCACCTTCCGGCCAGGAGCCCCGAGTGAGAGATGAGAAAACAGGCACAAAACCGGCCGTTCGGAGGCGGTGGCTGCCGGGGCCCCCGTGCCCCCAGCTGTCCCAGCACGTGCGCCCTGTCCACTCCGGCCCGGTTCTTCCCAGCTCGGCTCGCCGCGACGTGGAGCCCGGGTGCCTGCCTAGAAGATTGATGCTGGCCAATCAGATGTCCCCGCGGGTCCGCAGACCCCAACCCCAAACCCCACGCCCGAGACCCCAGACCTCACGCCAGAGCTCCAAGACCAGAGCGGACCTCGGGGTCCAAACCTCCCAGGCCACCCCAAGTGCGCCCCAGACTCAGCCCCCAGCTCGTGCTGGGACCCCGACATCATCCCGCCCCGTCGGGACACTCACATCTCAAGCTCGGCTCGGCTCGGGCCCGCGCGGCCTCCAGAATCCCGCACCCCCGGCATATCCCGGCCGACGTCCCGGTAGCAGCCCGCAGATTCCCAGCCCGGAGCCCGCTGACCCGTCCGCTCAGCGCCTCGGCCCTCTGGGCATGCGCAGAGTCGCAGCGCCTGCTGGGAAATGTAGTTCTCCCAGCCAGTTCCGCCGCGCGGGGGCGCTAGAGTTATGGGGAGCGGAGAAGCTCCGGTTCAAATCCCGGGCTTTCTCGCACCAGCCACCCAATAGCTAGTCCCTGGGCCATGGCAGGGGTTTCATTCCAAGGAGTGGCGCAGAAGTGCAGCTGGGAAATAGAAAGGGAGAATAAGGGGTGGGGGTAATCTCTGAGACTCTTGGGGTACTGAAAGCAAGGTGGGGACCCATTGAAGACTGGGTTTGGCTCACAGTAGGGAGACAGAGTGGCTGCCCTGCTTGGAATGGACCTAGGAACTTCACCTCCCTAAGCTTCAGTCTCCAGGGCTAAAAACCAGGGGAATGGGGGCCTGCAGGTGGCATGGTGGTTGAGGCGCTGGACTCCCACATGGTCAACCGCGGTTTGAATCTTGGACCCGGTTGCTTGTTTTCTCACTTTCTCTCTCTCTTTCTCTGTCTAATAATAATAATAATAATAAATTAAATAATTCCTTAAAAGCAAGCTGGGGGGAATAGAAGCTACCTCCTGATTGGGAGGGTGAAATGAGCTGCAGTGGGTTACAGATTCAGCCATAGGGCTGGATTATAGTAAGAGTCTAATCATCGTTACGGTTTTTTTTTTCTACTTTTCTTTCTGATCACTGCTCACTGGCAGAATCAGGAAATGTGTTAAGGGGGATTTTCAAAACGTTCATGGAAAATGAGTGTGGCCAAAAACTATGCATGGAGGTCAACTTTATTTATCTATTTATTTTCGCACCAAAAATAAAGTACTTTAATTCCATTTTCCCACAAACGTTTTGAGTTAACGATTGTAGAAGGTGTGATGTTTTTAGTTCATGAGAAGTCATTGAAAAGGGCAAGAGGTCAATGAACCATCCAATAAATGTCCTCATGCCATAGCTGGGTTAAGTCTCCAAGTTGGAAGAAGTCACTGAAGATACGGGCGTCAAGGCTGGACGGACTACAACTCCCAGAAGTCCCTTGCGGCCCACAACTCCCAAGCACCCCCTGGGCTTGGGACGTCTCCCGGAAGCGCGCACGTGCAAGCCGTCCGCGTACGTCATGGCGGCTAGACGCCTCTTTCGGGCTACCAGAACGTGGGCAGGCTGGGGAGCCCGGGAACTCACCGACCCTGGCCCTCCTGGAAGACTCTTGGTCCGGGATTATGCCAAGAAGCCGGGTAAACTGAGCAAAGAGGGACTAAGATGGGGGCCGTGTGGAACTGGGAAATCGGTAGTGCGCAGGCGCCAATACGGTGGGTGGGCCTAGAGCTAGTGCGCAAGCGCAGAGGGGCAGCCGCCAGCTCCGCGCAGGCGCAGTTTGAGGGACTTGTTGCCCCTTGGAGCGCTGATCCTAGGGTGCGATTGTACTCAGTGCGCAGGCGCCAGCGTAAAGCCGGCCAGTCCAGGATGAGGGTGTGATTTATCCGGGATCAAGTGCATTTCACTGCGCCGACGCTGATTTTTCTGGTTTTGTTTTGGAGACGCAAACTTAGGTTCCCCTCTTATTTCTGCCTCCAAATCGTTGTGGGACCTTGTGCAATCTTGGACCCCACCACCATCAATTCAAGAAAAGGCTAGAGTCCATCTGCCCCTCTAAGTATTAACCACCTAAGCAAAAACAAAACAAGGGTGGCCCATCTTAGCTGGGTACAGCCTTGCCTGGTCTCTTTTGTAGGGAGGATAATGGGCAAATGTTAGGACTTAAAGCCCCGTCGCAGCCCACGGAGATTTTCTCTGAGATAAACAGAAGCAATCAAAATAGAATTTAAGAGAGAATGACGTCATTCTGAGATTGGGGGGAGGGTTTTATTTTTTTTTTTAGCTCAGAGTGGATTGCGTGCGTCTGCATGTGAGAGGGAGCCGAGCACCCCCGCAGGGTTTGGTTACGCTGGCTGGGACCCCCGTCCTGCAGCCGTCCTGCCCACCAGACCCTGGGCCCTCGCACACGTGCCCAGCACGTTTCAGGCTGACCACCCGCGGTCACCACGTGCGTCCAGGCCCTCACGCTAACACCACGGCCAAGGCCCACTGAGGGCCATTCCGAGCATGGGGGCGCAGCGGTCGGACGCTATGCCTTGCCAGGCTGTGCACACGTCATGTTCCAGGGCCGGCTCAGGCTGGGGGTGGGCCGCAGGGTGCACTCCCTGATGGGGATGTCTCTCTCTGTCTCTGTCTCTGTCTCTCCCACTCATGGAGGGAGAAAGAACTCCGCTTTACAGAACAGTCCATGTCCAGCGCAGCAGTCAGCTAGGGCCGAGGGTGTCAGGAGGGCCGGGTGAGGGGCCAGGCTGAAACGACTTCCCCCTCCCCAGTCATGAAGGGGGGCAAAGGCGGCAAGAGCGCCATGGTGGGCGACGCCCTGAAGGACCCGGACGTGTGCACAGACCCCGTCCGGCTCACCACGCACGCCATGGGCGTCAACATCTACAAGGAGGGCCCGGACGTGGCCCTGAAGCCGGACGCCGAGTACCCCGAGTGGTGAGTGGGCCGGCCGTGCCCCTCCGCGCACCCCCCTGCAGCTAGCGGGAGGAAGCCAGGACCAGGCCCGTGTGGCTCTGACTCTGATTGGGGTGGGAGCCCTCGAGGGCGGAGGGCCCAGGACAGGACCTGATCGGTGCTCACCGCCGCCCTCTGGTGGTCACTGCGGGGAGCGGCCACAGCAGGTGCGCAGCCGCTGTGCCGAGCCTTAGGCCTCTGCGGAGCCAGCGCGGGGCGGCCGGCGCCCAGGAGCGGGAGGGGCCGGGGATCCAGCCCTGCAGCCCTGCCCAGGTGCACCCTGATTCCCGCGCCCCCATCAGGCTGTTCCAGATGAACGTGGGTCCCCCCAAGAAGCTGGAGGAGCTGGACCCCGAGACCCGGGAGTACTGGCGGCTGCTGCGGAAACAGAACATCTGGCGCCACAACCGGCTGAGCAAGTCCCGGAAGTTCTAGCGGGACTGGATGCGTCGGACTGGACGGGCCAGGAGCCTGGCCTCCGGAGGGCAGCTGGGGAGGGGCGCGGAGCCTGCACCTACCCCACCCAGGACTTTCTCCTTGCCCAGAGCCGACAGACCCCCGCCGCGAGGCCGAACCTGGCCCCGGGGCCAATAAAGAGCGCTCTGGGAGACCCATGCCCCCGTGTAGACGTCCGTCTGTGCTGTGGCGCGGGGCGGGGCAGCGGCCCGCGGTCTGGGCCTCTGAGGGTCCTTCACCTCCCGACCTCAGTGGGCTTCTCTCCCGACTCCTGTAGTTTCTTTCCTCGCTCCCACGAATGAGAGAGCGAGCAGCCCAATGGGGCCCTGCCAGTGCACCCCCAGCCCGTGTCCACATTCTAGGCACACGGGTGCTCGCTGTACTCACAGAGCACTCGGGATACGAACCTGGGACCTTCCCATGTGGTCGACCTCACAGCTTCGCAGTTCGCCATTGTGGAGCCCACCCACCCTCGAGTTCCCAGACCTGGAAGGGGCAGCCATCTCAGCCAGGCCTCCCTTGGCCCCCGGGTAGTGAGCCCCCGTCCCCCTGCATTGGAATGAGGACAGGGTCCTGGGTTTCAGGAACCATCGTCAGGGGCAGGGGCGGGAGGTTGGCTTCAGGCGTGGCAGGGGTCCAGGAGCTTCAGAACTCAGATGCGTGACTTCCTGTCTCCGCGACAACCACTGCTGGTCACCAGGGTCCTGGCCCACCTCCACAAGCTAGCCAGAGGGCTGACAGTCCATCCTGCCCGGTCACAGGGTGGCCGTCTCGGCCCGCGTCTTTCTCCAACCCCAGCCCAGGTCCTTAGCTCGCCCCCCTGCAGCTCAGGTCCCCCACCCACGGCGCGTCCTCCCGCCGGGAGCAAACCTCGGTCACCCTTACTGTTGTGGCTGGCCGCTGGGGCTCAGGGATTGGAGGGAGCCACCAGGTCCCACTCTGGGCTCAGCCCCTTTGAAGACCCCCACCCCTTCCCAGGGTGCTCGTGTGGGCGGGGAGGGGGGCTCATCCTCTTAGGGGGCCTCTATGGCAGGGATTACCGAGAGCCTGGCCCCTGGGGGGCCGGGGCTGAGGACTGGCCTTCCGCTGGTCCAGCCGGACCATGGGAGATAGGCTCCAGGACCCCTCCAGAACCGAACCCCACGACTCCAGGGCCCAGTCCCTGCGAACCCAGGCGCGTGTCCCGCTGTGTACGCCGTCTGGACTGCTCTGCGCCCGGACGAGCTTACTGCACGCTTGGCCAGTGGCACATTCCAGTTCTGGTTTGAGGAACTCCCCGGGGCAGTTCTTTTCCTTCATTTCTCATTATAGTTATTTTCCATTTGATCAGTGCGAGACCCAGAGAGAGAGACAGAAAGCGAGAAAGCAAGCCGCCAGGTCTGGGACTCAGACTGGTCAGCCATGTGGGAGTCCAGCGCCCCCAGCCACCACGGCTGTGGGCATTCACTCATTTAGCTGAGATTATTGCCCTAGGGTGGGTGCACTTGCCAGAGAGACAGAGACCTAGAGGGAAGGTAAGAACCCCACCAAAAAAAAAGGAGGGTACGAACCGCACCCCCCCCCCCCCCCGCCATGGCCACGCTGCGTCCTCCTCCTGGGATCTTGCCGTGTGAATTCCAAGCAGGCAGACTGCGGTGGCCATGTGGGAGTCCAGCCACTCACCCCTTGGAGGAAGCAGGCTCAGGGCGCTCTGCAGCTGGGCCTGGGGCCGATGACCGAGCTCCCCTCCTCCGCTGCAGCCCCAAGCTGCGTGTTCTGTCTCCGGGGTCAGAGCCACGGAGCCCACCCCTGGGGGAAGGGATCAGGAGCCGCCGAGGGCTCCCACGCGTGACGCGTGGGCTCCGGGAGCTGCGTCCCTGCCCAGCCAGGCCCACTTGTTGAATGGGGAGCCTGAGGCCCCAGGAGCGGGGGAGACTAGTCCAGGCCCTGGGGATCCCGGGGGGGGGGCCGCCTCCTGCCTGCCCCGGGGTGCCAGTGTCTTTGCGGGGCGGCGTCTGTGTACTGCGCCCAGGGCCGGGGTGGGCTGCGCGGAGACCTCGGGCAGGCCAGAGCTGTGGCCGCCGCCACCCTCACGTCTAAGAAGGCCGCGGGTCGGCTCAGGCGGGGGACCAGGCCCTGTCCAGCGCCTGTGCGTGCTCCTTGGCCAGCAGGCGCAGCGACGCCTCCTCCAGCGCGAAGCCGTCGGCGAAGGCGGGCCCGAAGGCATGGGGCGCCAAGGTCGCCTGCAGCCCGGGTCCCTGGCCCAGGAGGCGGGGCAGGGCCGGCACCGACGGGGCCGCGGGGCCCAGCCAGGGCTCCAGGGGCAGGGGCACGGCCGGAGGGCGGGGGAAGGGCAGAGCGGGCGCGTCGGGGAGCCGCGGGGCTGCCCCCGTCCCCGCCGCACTTCCGATCTGGCGCCACTTAGCTCGGCGGTTCTGGAACCACACCTGGAGGGCACAGAGTGGAGTGCCCTCAGCCTCCCCATGGCGCCCAGCCCCGGGGTCCTGCCCTGAGGGACGGTCCCGCGCCTGCTGTCCCCCACCGAGTCACCCCAAGCCTTTTCCAAGCCGTTCTTACTGCGGGGCCCCAGGCCTTCGCAGTGCCCTCCCACCTCCCCCCAGCTGCCGGGGCTCTTCCGCATGCCTGAAGACACCCTCTCTCCTTCCCAGGTGGAAAACTACCCAAACATCAAGGCCTCGGCTCCCACGTTCCCTCCTCCAGGAAGCCTCCCTCCCCGTGCGGATCAGTACGCGCCCCGCCCCGCCCGGCCGCGGGGGAGGGGCTCACCTGCACGCGCACCTCGGGCAGGTGCACCTTGGCCGCCAGCTCCTCGCGGCTGTACACGTCGGGGTAGTGGGAGGCCTGGAAGGCCCGCTCCAGCTGGCACAGCTGGTGGGTGGTGAAGGCGGTGCGGTTCCGCCGGGGCTTCTTCTTGGGTGCCTCCTGGCCGGGCCCCAGTCCCCCGCCCTCGGCCGCGGGCTCCTCTGCAGAGCTCAGGAACATGGCTCCTCACCTGGGGGGGCCGCAGCAGGAGGGACGGCGGGGGGCTGCAGCAGGAGGGACCCACGCAGGGCCAAGGCAGTGCCACCCTGTGTCCTGGCTTGGGGAGGCTGGTCCCCTCCACGTGGGCGCAGCTGGCACGTCGGTCCCTCTGTCTCACCTCCTGCTGTGTCTCTCTTCTTCCTCTTCTCTCATTGTTTTTCTGTGTCTCTCTGTCTCTCTGTGCCTGTCACGTCTCTCTCTACCGAGGACCCCCTCAGGTGTCTCCACCGAGAAGTCACAAGGACGGGATACTGTCCTGAGGGTGCCCTTCACCCTAAGTCCTCCCCCTGCGGGTCTCTGCACCCCACCCCTGCCTATGCCGGTGTCCCCCTGCCCGCCCAGTACACCCCGGTGTGCACGGGGTACCCGCCCTGTGGCCTGCCACCCCGTCTGCCGTGCCCTGCCCTGCCAGACCTGCGGGGTTAGGGCGAGGGCAGGATTACCTCTGGGTGATTAGCTGACCGGCCCTCCTGCTAGGAGCCGCAGAGGGAGGGCAGGTGGGGAGACGGGGGGCGGTCGCTGGCACCAGGGCTTCACCCTCTCTGGGCCTCGGGTTCCCTGGCTGTAAGTGGTGACACTGGGACCTCCCTGCGGAGCTCTAGGGGCTTCTCTGAGCCAGTGCGGTGTGAGTGCCCACTGCGGTCAGCCTTCTAGCTGGGCCCAGGAAAAGGCCACCTGAGGACCCACGATGTCAGTGGGGTGGGACACTGAGGTCCCGAGAGAGGAGGGTCATTGCCCTTAGCTTCCTAGCCATGGGGGCGTCTCAGTTGGGTCTTGAGGTATGAGTAGGAGTTCACTATTTGTTCTCTCATTTGTTCGGTAATCGCTGCTGGAACCCGGGGACCACACGGCAGAGAACGAGCCAGGGCAGCCAGGCTGCAGGCAGCGAGTAACCGGAACAGCAAGCAGGGGGCAGAACGGGCACGGGGGTGCAGGAGCGGTACTGGGGAGCCGTGGAGGTCGTGGGGGGCGCAGTCCCTGCATCTTGGTCACACATCTATTCTGGGGAGATGGAAAGGAAGCCGGGGCAGCAGAGGCTGGAGTCCAGGCCTGTTCAGGGCAAGGGCAGTGGGGATGGGGGGGCGGTGAGGATGGGGG